TGCTACCATCACCTCTATCTGGTTCCAAGACATTTCACCCCTCCCAAAGGAAACTCCATACCTACTACACTCACTCCTCAACCTCCCCACCCCCAGCCCCTGACAACCATTAATCTGCTTTCTGTCTCTGGATGGAGTTACCTCTTCTGGACATTTCATATGTATGGAATCATACAATAATGGCTTTTTTTTAATAAAGATTTTACTGGGGAATTGGGGGAGGGAACAGTGTTGGGGAATTGGGGAAGGGGAACAGACAAGTTGCTGTCCTTTTGTTCTTCAGTCTAGTTGTGGAAGACATCGCTTCACTGGCCCATGTTTGTATTGTGATCATTATGCTCTTCCCAGCTGAGGCAGTCGGTTGCCAGCCATTGAACGGCCACTCAAGGAGGCTCATGGCAGCTACTGGCTGCTCATGCTGGCTGCCAGCTACTCATGGTAGCTTTGGAAGCCCACTGCAGCCTATGCCATTACCGGCGACTCACGGCAGCCCAGCTCCAGGTTGAGCTGTTGTTCACCATCTTAGCTGCGGAGGGCATAGTGTCACTGGCCCATGTGGAAACTGAACCGGCAGCCCTGCTGCTCAGAGCTTGTGTTCCCAAGCCAACTCTTAACCAACGAGCCATTCGGCTGGCCCAATAGTGGCTTTTTATGGCTGGTTTCTTTTACTTCAATTATGTGCATGTGTATTTTTTAAAAAACAATTACGACATAAGAAAGCTAAGCATGCAAATGTCTTATCACCATGCCCAGCACACAGGAAGTGTGGGTTTACTCGAGGTTCTAGCATTTGGTCCTTTTCTTTTGTCCTCAGGGCTGTGCCTGGTGCAGGTGATACAAGCTCAGAACGGTGAGTGGGGATCTGGTATCAGCCAGTGAGAGGGCAGTAGGGGTGTGAGGGCCCAGGAGGAGGGCGCGGTTTGGAGGCTCTCCTCCACTACCCTCTGTTTCCCTTCCAGGCCTGCTCCCCAAGCCCTCCCTCCAGGCCAAGCCCAGCTCTCTTGTGCCCCTGGAGAATCCAGTGACCATCCGTTGCCAGGGACCCCCAGGCGTGGACTTGTACCGCCTGGAGGAACTGACATCTGGGATGTATAAGAACCAGGCTGTCCTCCATATCTCGGCCATGAAAGAAAGTTTCGCTGGATGCTACCGTTGCTCCTACTGGAGTGGGACCCGCTGGTCTCCTCCCAGTGACCGGCTGGAGCTGGTGGCGACTGGTAACTGGACAGGAGAGGGTGGGGTGTAGCTGGATGTGTGGCCTCAGGGCTACATGGTCCTCAGTTTTGGGCTGGAAGAGGGTGAAAATGGAGATGATGATGACAGTAAATTCAATGGTCCAGAGGGCCGGGATTGGGTGAGGCCAGTGAGACACAGGCCTTGACTGTTAAATTTAGGAGAGGTGCCAAAAATCTTAGTAATCAACGTAAGTCATATGTTAGTGCTTTTACCAATAATGTTATTCTTTTTACAAAAGTCAAAATCAATGCAAAAACATCCATGATGAACAAAATATGACAATTTTAAGTAAACACAGAACCTGTCAGTGATAGTCCAGCCATAGCCCAGCTTGACGTAAAAGGAAAAAAGGTGCACCACTCTATACATGTAGTAATGCATTTTTATTTTTAGATGGAATAAAATGTCCCCAGCTTATGCTTTTCTTTCCAGTGCATTTTGAATGGTTATTTTTTAAAGTAGATTTTGAAAATATCGATGAGTTTGCTTCCATGAAAGCCAGAAGTGTCAAAATGATAATAAATCCTGTCTCTTTTTTTGGTATAAACAAAATATTTAAACTTAAAGTGCTTTTTTGAGATTTAATAACCTACCTTAGAAATTTTCAATATTTTTCAACTATGCTAATAGTGTGGAAAAATTAACCAAAAAAAGTACAGAAAACGATTTGGAGCCTTTGCCTCAGGCTTCAGCGTGGTTCCCCCGGGCACAGATGGATTCTGTCTTTGCTTAAAATCTTGATACTTTTTTTACTGTGAATGTGTTTGCATTAATTTTGATTTAAAATTTCATTAAAATGTTATTTATCATGATTACAGAGGGTTTTATAGTGCCCCTTTAAATTTGCATCCAGGGAGAGTGCCTCGCTTGCCTCACCCTAATTCCTGACCCGTGGTCAGTTGTCTGCCAGACCTTAAGTCAGCTTTGGGGACTGACCCAAACACTCTCTTCCCATTAAGTATTTCCCTCACCACCTTTTTAAAAATTGCAGCCAATTGAAAATGGCACTTGTCTGGTGTGCCATATGTTTACTTATTTATCTTGGTTATTGTCTATTCTTCTTCCTGATGGGAATTTTATTTCTTGGAACAGAAATGGGCACATAAGAGTCACTAATGAAAAACAATTATTGAATGAGCCAGAATTATCAGCTTTTGTTGTTGTGAGCAGTGTGTGCCCGTTGTGGAGCCATGCTCCGCAATAACAGCATCAAATTATATAATAGTAGTGTAGGTTCATTTTTAGGAGCAGAGAGCCTGGAAACAAACGTCGTGACTGCAGAGTTCAGCTCTGCTGCCTGTTATCATAGGACCTCAGACAAGTTATTCCGCATTGTGAGCCTTAGTTCCATTGATAAAATATGGATATTCATAGTGATGAATTCATAGGGCTTGGTGAGACTTCGATGAATTGATATATGTCATGAGCTTGGAACAGCACCTGGAAGCTGGCATTTGAATACAAGTTTACTATGTAACTATCCATCGTGTGCTGTAACACAAGCTTACAATACAATGAAAGCTTAAGCTATTTTGTCCCTGTCATCGTATTTTCAGTGCTCGTTATGCTATGCGTTAGGTATTCTGCTAAATGCTTAATACATATTGTATCTTTCATTTTAGAGTAAAGAACACTGAGGCACAGCTATAGGGGCAATTTATCTCTAGGATCATACAGCCCCAAAGCAGCAGAACCAGGATTTAAGCCTGGGCACTATGATATGACTTTAGTCAGATTCCCTTGACTACTTTGTGAGCTGGCGGCAGGGAGAGTGGGTTCTCCGGGTTGGATACATCTGGAAAGTTCCCTAGCTCTTAGGGAGCTGGAGGAACCTCCTGGCCTCTCTCCACACCTCCCCACTCCTCCTCGCCCCTCCCCGACCCCAGCCTAGACATTGGCCACCATGTTTAACACCAGAGTCTTCTCTCTCAGGAGCTTTTCCCAAGCCCTCACTCTCAGCCCAGCCCAGCCCGGTGGTGTCCCCAGGAGGGGACGTGACTCTACAGTGTCGGAGCGATCTTAGTTTTGACCAATTTGCTCTGTACAAGAAGGGGGACACGGGGCCCTACAAGGGACCTGAGAAGTGGTACCGGGCAGATTTCCCCATCATCACCGTGACTGCTGCCCACAGTGGGACCTACCAATGCTACGGCTTTTCCAGCACTTCTCCATACTGTTGGTCAGCCCCCAGTGATCCCCTGGAGCTTGTGGTGAGAGGTAAGGGGGTCCAGACCAAACCTTTCTTCCTCAGCCTTTGCAGGTGTTGATAGAAGTTCCAAGGGGAGGGACCGATAGGTGCAAAGATATACACCATAGGATTCCACTCAATGTACAGTATTGTTTTCTTTACACATAGACACATGAATATATAGTATAATATATATTTAATATATATAATATATATTTATAATATTGTAATTAGTAGAGCAAACAATCTTAAATCAAATCTTAACTCAAAGACACATCCAACACATGTATAATTGTGACTGTGATAAGCGCTGTCACTTAGAAATCCATAGTGTTGTTAGAATCTAGAAGGGGAGGCTTCCCTGAGCAATCAATGTTTGATGTGGATCTTAGGGCAGAGTACAGGTTAATAAGATAGGTGGGGTAGATGGTGTGGGCTGCAGGTGGGTGCAATTGTATGAGCCAATACCCTGTAGTGGGAAGTTGGCAGATGGCATAGCTGCAAAGCCAGTGTGGTGGGAGGGTGGTGGGAGCAGGGAGGGGCTGTGTTTTGTTCCTTAGGCACCCCCTACCCCCATTGGATACTTGCCCCTTCCCCCAAGCTATCCTACTGTTCTTGTCTGCTCCCCTACTTCTCAGGACACAAGGGCTGGTTTTGCTCCCAGGAACAAAGGGTACATGTCACAGATCCAGAAAAAGGGCAGAACTGAGGTTCAAAAAGCAGGGACAAGGGTTGTCATTATGAATTAGCCCCAGAACGTGCCAGGGGTGCCTTTCAAATGTTATTTTACACCATGGTAGCCCAGTGATGTAATGGGGGCGGACCAATGTTTTATTTATTTATTTATTTATTTATTTACTCACGCAGGACCAACAGCTAACAGAGCACAGAATTCTTTCTTTTTCTGATTTCTCAGGGACCTCTGTGACGCCCAGCTGGTTACCCACAGAAGCACCTGCCCCTGTAACAGGTGAGTCCTGTAGGATTCACCCTGGTGTTTGGGGTCCAAGGCACATGGACCCCTTCTTATCTTTCTCCTCTCTCTCCAGGTTTTTCAACTTAACTCACTTGTCTCTTTCACAAATTCTCTTTAAAAAAAAATCCCTTATTTCTGCCTGTGAAGAAGGTGGGTATAATAAATAGATATCAAATATGCTGCCCCACACCCCTTCTCTCCAGCCTCAGGGGGTTGGTTTATAATGTCTAATGTGCAGAATATCTGAGTGGCTTATAAAATTGTAGGCTTCTGAACTGCATGCCTGAGGCTCCAAGTCTATTGGTCAGTGGCTCTCAAATGTTAGCATGCCTGAGAATTACTTGGTGAATCAGATGACAGCTGTGTCTTCAGAAATAATGTGCTAGGCTGTGACACCTCTGACATTTTCTGTGTCTCAGGGTGGACCCAAATACTGAGGAACAAGAAGCATGTTGGAAAAATGCAGACTGAATGTGCTGACATGTGGGGTAGACGGGGTTGGGGGGCTGTCATGGCAAAGGAGGCACAGTGTGTGGGAAGATGTGTATGTGCATATGTATGTGTTTCTGATTCGATTTTTTAAATTATAATTTATTGGAGTGACAATGGTTAGTAAAATTACATAGGTTTCAAGTGTACAATTCTCTAATACATCATCTATAAATCACACTGTGTGCTCACCACCCAGTCATTTCTCCTCCCATCACCATAGATTTGACCCCCTTTACCCTCTTCTACTATCCCTCCTCCTCCCTTACCCCCTGGTAACCACTAAACTATTGTCTGTATCTATGAGTTTTTGTTTCTTTGTCTTGTTCCTTTGTTGCTTTCGGTTTTATATCCCACATATCAGTGAAGTCATAAGGATCTCAACTTTTTCTGTCTGACTTATTTTGCTTAGGATAATAGTCTCAAGGTTCATCCATGTTATCGCAAATGACATTATTTCATCTTTTCTTATGGCAAAATAGCATTCTATTGTGTATATATCACAACTTTTTTTTTTTTAAGATTTTTATTGGGGAATTGGGGGAAGGGAAACAGACAAGTTGCTGTCCTTTTGTTCTTCAGTCTAGTTGTGGAGGCAACTCACAGCAGCCCAGCTCCAGGTTGAGCTGTTGTTCAGCATCTTAGCTGTAGAGGGCAGTGTCACTGGCCTTCATATGTGGGATCCGAAAGGGGCCCTCTGGTATCCCAAGCCAGCTCTTAACCAATGCGCCCGCCACTCGGCTGGCTCATATACCACAACTTCTTTATCCAATCATCTATCTTAGTACACTTGGGCTGATTGGATTTTTTTAAAAGATTTTATTGGGGAATTGGGGAAGAGGAACAGCCAAGTGGTTGTCCTTCAGTCTTAGTTGTGGAGGGCGCAGCTAGCTCAGCTCCAAGTCCACTTGCCATCTGGCTGCCCATTGGCAGCTCGCGGTCGCTCAGCTCAAGGTGCCATATTCAATCTCAGTGGCAGGTGGGCATAGCTCACCATGCCATGTGGGAGTCAAACTGGAAACCTTGTAGCTAAGAGTGCCTGACGGCAGCTCAGGGCAGCTCAGCTCAAGGTGCCGTGTTCAATCTTAGTTGGTGGTGGGCATAGCCCAGCACCCCATGTGGGAGGTGAACTGGCAACCTTGTTTTTAGGAGCACCAACTGGTGCTCTCACCAACTGAGCCATCCTTTCACCTATTGGCAGCTCAATGGAAACTCAGCTCGGGCGCAGCTCATGGCCCATGTGAGAATTGAACCAGCGATCCTGTTGCTCAGAGCTTGTGCTCTTAACCAACTCGGCTAGCCATGATTGCAATTTTTTAACTTTTTATTTTGAGATGTGGATTCACAAGAAGTTACAAAGATAGTGTGAAATGACCCCATGTACCCTTTGCTCCAATTTCCCCAATGGTTATGTCTTACAGAATTACAATACAACTTGAGAACTGGAAACCTGATATTGGTACCATCTGTGTGTTTAGTCCTATGTCAGTTTATCATAAGTATAGCCACCTTCACACTCAACATACAGAACTTTTCCAATCCCATAAAGATACTTTTCAGGCTAACCCTTTATAGTCATCTCTTTCCTCTCCCCTCCATCCTTAACCTCTGGCAACCATTCCTAATTTTTTCTTTGTTTCTTTAGTTTTGTCTTTATTTCTTTGTCAGTTTGACAATGTTATATAAGTGGAATCATACAGCATGGAAACTTTGAGATTGCTTCCTTCCCACCCCATTCAGTATAATATCCTGAGACCCACCCAACTGGTTGCATGTATTGGTAGCATGTTCCTTTTCACTGCTGAGTAGTACTCCATGGGATGTGTGTACCACACCACATTTGAATCTAAATTTAAACATTCATTAATGAAACACACAGGAAGAGAAATAGCAGAGAACAAATAATATCCATGGTCTGATTATACCACAGAGAGGTGAGCACAAACTAGGCTTTGAAGTACTGGTTCCAGCATAAAAGCCTCTCAGGGACTGTCCCCACCCTCAACAGGAAGCTGAGGGGGTTTGGGAAATATTTTGGTGGCCATGTAAAAACAATAGAAGGTCCCTGGTTAAGAAAATAGCCTTGGTAGGGAGGGGAACCTCTTATACTCAGAGGCTGGTATCAGCTTGTTTTTCCATTGAGTTCACACAGACCTGCTGACCCACTTTGTAATTTTAAAATTGGGTTATAAGTCACATACCATGAAATTGATCATACCCATTGGAATGGCTATAATAATAATGATAGCACAACAACAAGTGTTGGTGATAATGTGGAGAAACTGGAATCCTCAGACATTGCTGGTGGGAGTGGATAATGTTGTAGTTGCTGTGGAAAACAGTTCAGTGGTTCCTCAGAAAGAATTGCCATGTGACCATATCATAGAATTACCATATGACCCAGCAATTCCACTCATACTTATGTGCCCAAGAAAATTAAAAAATATAACCAGGCACTTAGAACTCAGCAGAAAGAATTATGAGGACTAAGCTCTCTCTTCCATCATCTAAAGCTGCAGGCTTTTAATCTGTTTCATGAAACTACCTGACTCTTTCCAGGACAGTCCTTGGTTTGAGGATGGAGGATGAAATGGAGGTAGGCTCTGAGCTTGGGGACAGAGGAGCATTCTGGGTAATGTGGCCATTTCAAAGATGGCGGACCCAAGGCTGTGATGGGAAGAGCATGACGCATCCCGATACATTGCTCTTCTGACTTAGTTGTGGTCCATGTATGCAGTCTGGTTCCCCATTGTTTCCATGCAGAGCCCCTGCTTCAGCCCCACATGGATCATAGGTGTCTGGACACAATACATCCTTTCACCATTCCAGTCCAAAGCAAATATGCTTCCTTCATGCTGTAGTTCCCTGTCCCCTTGCTTTTCCTGGGAAAAGTCTCCTTTTCCTTCAAGACAGAAAAACTTGACAGATCCCCTGAGGATAGGTTAGATGTCTCCACTGAGTCCACACAACTCTAGCTTTCTTTAGGCTCTTCCTAAGTCCCTAATGGGATTCTTCCCATTCTCTGTTCAAGACCCTACTGAGTTCCCAGTCACGCTCAGGATGTAGCCTGAGCTTGTTCAGTGATTTTTAGATTCTATGCTCTTAGACCAGCCATGGATGATCCCTCCTGTCTTGTCTTCATTCCTCATACTAATCTCAGCCACACGGAGTCGGTTGATGCTCTTCTGGGTACTTTATGTCCTCTCCTGACTCTGCATCCAAGCCACTTGCTCTGCCTTTCCTTCCATTTCCCCATGGCTTCAACTTCTCAAGAAAGCCTTTCTGACACTCCAGACTGGGTTGGTAGTGTCCACTGTGCTTCTTCAGTGTCCTGTGTGTTACCTATTAGAGCAATTTTCACAGTGAATTAAATTATCACTATTTTTTAATTTTTTTTATTTTTTGCTGAAATAGTTTTTTAAAATTAGTTTCAGGTATACAAAACAATGTAATAGTTATACATTTCACCCCTCACAAAGTGATAACACCCTCCCCCAATCTAGTGCCCTCTGACATTGTATATATCTGTTAAAATTCCATTGACTCAATTCCCTATACTATACTCCATGTCCTGTGACTGTATATATATTAAATTATAGTTGACATACAATATTATTTAGCTTCAGCTTCAGGTGTACAGTACAGTGGTCAGGCATCTACACCGTCCATAAAGTGGTCTCCCTAAGAAGACATGTGCCCATCTGACACCCTACAATATATTTACATTATTGATTATATCCCCCAAACTGTCTCATATCCCTGTGATGGTATTGTAGTTACCAATTTATGCTTTCTAATCCTTTCCCCTTCTCCCTGATCCCCACCCGCCTCCTATCTAGCAGCCATCAGTTTTTCCTCTATATCTCTGAGACTAATAATAATAAAATTATCACTTTAATTTTTGGTCTCCTTCAGTGTCTGGCATCTCCACATGGGCAAGAACTGTGTGTTTGTTGCATCTTTAGAATGCACAGCACATGGCTGAGCTCCTGGAAAGTCTCAGGAGATATTTGTAAAACAAGGGAAGAAGAGCTAGTATATATGGGGTACTTCTTATATGTCAAGCACTGTGCCTTATGCTATTATTATTATTAGTTTAATTTTTCACATCAATCTATGATATAAGCAATGTAATTATTTTCATTAGAGATGGGAAAACTGGCTCATAGATGTTGTCATTTGCTAGAGGCTCTGCATCTAATAAGTGATGGATCTGAGGTCCAAGTTTAGATAGCCCAACTCTACAGTTCCCCTCCTCTTCCTCCTTTACAATTCAGTGATTTTATTAATTTTATAAACTTGTGCAATGATAACCACAATATAGTTTTAGAACATTCCCATCACCTCAAAAAGTTCCCTTGTGTCCTTTTATAGGTCATTCAAACTCCCATGCCTAGCCCCAGGAAACCACTGATCTTCTTTCTGTCTGTATAAATTTACCTTTTCTAGACATTTTACATAAATGGAATAATACAACATACAATCTTTTGTGTCTGGCTGCTTTTACTCAGCATAAAGTTTGCAAGGTTCACCCATTTTGTGGCAGTTCTTATAGCCATGGAATTCTGCCTCCCAAATGTGTGTGTTCAAGGTTGGGGCAGGGATAAGGGTAGGGGAGATAGTCCCAACTCTTCACACTTACCCTTTTTGATTCCCAGAGTCTTCTAGGAATATCACCATCTTTCCAGAAGGGTCAAGCTCTCCAACTGGTGAGTAAGTGGTCCTCTCTGGACCTTCCTCCTTCTCACCCTGTGTCTTTACCTAAAACTTATGGCTTTTCCTATGCAGAAACTGTGATCTTGGGCCCTGGTGTGTAAAGTTTTAAAGGGAGGTGGGAAACTTAGCACATGGAGGTCAGAATTGGGCAATAAGATCAGGTGGGAAGGTGGAGATCTTCCAGAGGAAGAAAATTCCATCTCTCTCTTCACCCCTTATAACGAATGGTCTTCTCTTCCATAATTAATAACCAGGTAGCATCTGTGCATGAGGAGGGGATGTATATAAGAAGTTATATTTAGGAAATTGGGCTTATCTAACCCTGACCCTGGTGAGGAGGGGAGGGACCCTCTAGGAACTCCTTCCTAGGCACCCTAGCTAGCAGAGAGTGATAGGATCTCAGATGAGGGATACAGCTGTAAGAAACCCAAGATGTGGCTTGGAGATGGGTTCTTATCTCCTGCTCCTGTTTCTCTTCACTCCTCCAGGTCTCACCCACCAGTACTACACTAAAGGCAATCTGGTCCGGATATGCCTTGGGGCTGTGATTCTAATACTTCTGGCAGGGCTCCTGGCAGAAGATTGGTACAGCCGAAAGAAACCCCTGCTGCACCGGGTCAGAGCTGTCCACAGGCCACTCCCACCCCTCCCACAGACCCAGAAAGCACAGAGTTGTCAGGACGGGGGTCAACCAGATGGTCATAACCATGGATGCCACCGTTAGAACCCCAAGGCTTGGTTATATCTAAGAGATATGTCATGGGCGTGAGGAGGGGACTTAAAGAGTGTGTGGCATATGACAGCAAAAGGATAGAGGCTACAGCTGTGGAAAAGGAGGGCCAGGGTCTCTTTGGGAGTGCTCCTTCAAGGAGCTGTTGAGTCAATGTCTACCGGGAGTGCCAAAAAAATGTATACTCATGACTTGTATTCATCTTTTGTTATTGGTATATATTATTACAATTTTAATACAGTTTTTTTCTGTTCTTAAAATGTCTATACTTTTTTTGGCACCCTCTGTATTTGGCTTTCTGTCCAAGAACTCCCTCTGTTTGGGACGGAAGGAATCCAGTGGATGCCAAAGTCTCCTCACTAATGTCTTGCACATCGTGGATCTTATGGCACCCTCACTGGACCATCATACTTATCTCTTTCTTCAACCTTCTCTAATATGGGTTCCAGATTGACCTCTATGTTTGGTCAGAATCTATTAATAAATGCAACCTCCTTCATGAATGCTTTCACCTTTATTTCTCTTGATATACTCGTGATGTAGACATTTCATCCATAACATAAACTGTGCATGTTTATATAAGCTGAAGACACAACCAAGGCTAAAATGACATTTGGCCCAGTACTAACATCATTGAGAAGGCACACAGGAAGCTCAACGTCACGTTGAAGATCTGTGACTTGACTGGAGAATGAACAATGCCACGGGATTCAGAAAATAAAGTCATGAGAAGAAGATCTGTTATTTTTTTATCTTGATTATCTCTCTCAATTGTCAGACGTGGGTTGCTTTCTTTGATTTCTTTCAGCAGCTTCTGGATTTGAGCATCAGGTTTATCTATCTTCAACCTGGTGGTACAATGGGGCAGAAAAGTTTTGCTGTTGTTTCAAGGAGATTCATTCCAAACCCCTAAGTACCTGCAAGTCTCATGCTTTAGGGATTTTCAGAGCAGGAACCACCTTTATGTATTATTCTATGCTGCCAAGTAGAGTTCCATATCACTTTAATAGGGAAAAAATGATAATATCAAGTTAGCATCATAATGGTATGGCTGGATGATCTTGGGTGATTATCATATTGTATTTGGTGTGAGAGGTGAAATTGATGAATATATCTGTGACATAGCTCTAATACCTACCTACTCCATAACTTATTTTGACAACTTCTTCTACTAGGTGGACCAGGATGAGACATATACACTGGAACCAAGTCAGCCAGACTAGCTTTTTATCCCCCCTTGGCTGCATGACACTAGCTAATGACTACCCTTTATTTATCATATGATAAATAGCAGGCTCATTTCTAGGATTCACCTGTTGGTAACTGTATTCAACCATGGGTATGTGGAAATGGGAAGTAGGAGGGGAGAGGGAATAATTAAAGCAAAAATATGTATGAAGAGACCAAGGCTATTAGCTGCCATGTTTCTTATTGGCACTGTAGTCCTGGTTTTGCTGGCATATTGATCAACTTTTGCTTTGTAATTTGAGATTTACAATACCTCCATGCAACAAACTTTCAGTTATATGATGAATAAGTTCTGAGAATCTAATGCACACTAAGGTGACTATACTTAATGATACTGTATTGTATACTTGAAATTTGCTAAAAGAATAGAGCTTATGTGTTCTCACTACACACCCAGAAAGGTAATTATGTGAGGTGATGAAGATGTTAATTAGATTGATTGTGGTAATCATTTCAAAATATATACATATGGCTGGCCAAGTGGCTCAGTTGGTTAAGAGTGCAAACTCTGAGCAACAGGGTCACCTGTTGGATTCCCACATGGGCCAGTGAGCTGCACCCGAGCTGAGCTGTCAACAGGTGGCAGGATGGCTCAGCTGGTGAGAACAAGTGAGAGTACGTGCTCCTAACAACAAGGTTGCCAGTTCACTCCCACGTGGGATGCTGGGCTACACCCACCCGCAACTAGTATTGAACATGGCACCTTGAGCTGAGCAGCTGTGAGCTGCCGACGGGCAGCCAGATGGTGACTGGACTTGGAGCTGAGCTAGTGCGCCCTCCACAACTAAGATTGAAGGACAACAACTTGGCTGTTCCCCTTCCCCAATTCCCCAACACTGTTCCCCTTTTCCAATTCCCGAATAAAATCTTTTTAAAGAATGTATACATATATCAGAACATCACATTGTACACCTTAAATATATATAATTTTCATTTATCAGTTATACCTCAATAAAGCTGTACAAAAAAACCAAAAGAGCCCAACACACCCATGCAATCTTAAGCTAAATTGAGTAGATACCTTGTCAGCCATCAAAATAACTTTGGCTAAAATAAGGGCCAACTAACTTCAAAACATTTTAAACATGACCCTCCAAAGTCAAATGTAATTGTGTTTACTCATGATTGTCAGAGGTTGGTCATGGTCTGTGGCAGAAGAACAAAAATAGTTCCCACAGTAGATCTGTGTTTGGCCAAAAGTGTTGAAGAAATATAAAATGGGTGTGATGAACCACACAGAAGATCTAAATGTGTTGCTTTATGAAATATATGGTGGGGCCGACTGAGTGGCTCATTGGTTAAGAGTTAGCTTGGGAGCAAGAGCTCTGAGAAGCAGGGCCGCCAGTTCAGATTCCACATGGGCCAGTGACGCTGCGCCCTCTACAGCTAAGATGGTGAACAACAGTTCAACCTGGGGCTGGGCTGTGGTGAGTCACCGGCGACGGCGTAGGCTACGGTGGGACTGCAGTGGGCTGCTGTGAGCTATTGTGAGTGGCCAGCAGCCAGCATGAGCAGCTGGCAGTTGACATGAGCTGCCGTGAGCTGCCACGAGCCACCGTGAGTGGCTGTCCAATGGCCAGCAAGCGACTGCCTCAGCCAGGAAGAGTGCAATGATCACAATACCAACATGGGCCAGTGAAGCAACGTCCTCCACAACTAAACTGAAGAACAAAAGGACAGCAACTTGTCTGTTCCCCTCCCCCAATTCCCCAATAAAATCTTAAAAACAAAACAAAACAGAAATATATGGTGATGGAAGGAGAACTGACTCTGGGTGGTGAACACACAATGTGATGTATAGATGATGTATTACAGAATTGTACACCTGAAACCTATGTAACTTTATTAACAATTGTCACCCCAATAAACTTTAATTAAAAAAACAGAAACAAATCAAATAAAAATATAATAGTAAGAGGGTCAACAATAAAAAAAAAGAATGAGGTGTGATGTTAGCAAGAGAAAGTGACTATAGTTAATATAAAAATGCTTATCAAAAATATAAGTGGTAGCTGATAGAATCAAAGAACTAAACACCAAATCCTGAAAGGGTAGGGCTATGGCATCTGTACCTTTCTAGGATCTATGATTCAGGAAGAATGCCCCACCTTGAACCACTCATCTTGAGTGGTTCAAAGGCCCAGGAAAGAATATCTTGCTAGTCTAAGGAAACAGCTCCAATGTTATCTTTGTGGGGACTTTACATCTTCATTGAAAACCACCAATATTATGTAAAGTGAGAGAGCTAACTCACAAGAAAGGGCTAGGAAAAGAAAAAAAAAACTTTCCACATGTCCCTTCTTTTAACTAGCAAGGTACCTTGAGACCTGAGTTTATGTTAAGTAAATGCATAATATTTCTTCTACATAATTATGATCATTTTAAGTCATCAATGGTCTATGTTGCATCTGAGAATTTAAGAAAGTTCCCACACTCCTAGGAAGAGTTTTATGGTTCTTTGTTGCCATGGTAGCAAGTAAACAACAGAACTCAATGAAGACTTGCTCTGAGGAGCACGTGGATGACAGCCAGTTGGTGATAGCTTCTATTAATATTATCACAGACAACTCTCATTAGACAGTGGCTTACTCCAGAGAACATGCTTATAAGGAGACACTGACCCTGTAGACCTCTGTAACACTGCTGCCTGAAAACAAAACTTTTTCAAAAAGCACTGTAGGAGAGCTGCAATTTGATTTCCCTAACAAGACGATGGCTGGCCACCATAACTCTCCTTCACTTAGATAAGCCCTAAATCCAGTTTCTTGGTTTCAGATTGAGTTTTGGTCTCATTTCTTGACTCATCATACCCATCCAAGTGACAGAAGGAATTAACATAAGAGTTATCTAGTGACCAACATCAGTGGGTGAAAACTGAATGCTAGTGATCAATGCCTACAACAAATTCCTGAGGTTGGTGCTCCCCCAAAACTTACTATGGAGAAAACACTGTGGGGCATAAAAGGATCATACCTGAATGTCCGGAGAGGGCAGTTTTGAAGTTTTAGGGCATCACACAGCATCTTTGCTCCACTATATCCCAAGGAATTCTGGCCCAGGTCCAGAGTGACCAGGTTCTGGTTGCAGCTAAAGGCAGACAAGAGGTCCACACAACTGAAAGGAGGGATTGCACATTCCCATAACCTATAGGCAAACACAAAATTTCATTTATTCACTCAACCAATGTTTATTGGTACCATCCTATATGCCAGGCACACTCTTGGGTGTTGGGGGTCCAACAGTGAACAACAAAAGTCTCTTCCATCAGAGTTCATCTGGTAATAGGAAACAGAGCAAGAGATGTAATGTGCCATGTACAAATCAGGGTTATGTAGGGCAAGGGGTAAAGAAAGTAGCAGGGGGTGCTCGCTACAGTGGTTAAAGAAGACCTGAGGGGGTAAAGAGAATGAGCCATAGAGAGAGCTGGAGTAGGAGCTCTTCAGGCAGAGTAATAGCTTGTGCAAAGGCCCTGAGGTTGCATATAATTAGCATGTAAAACATCAGGGCAGCCAGCTTGAGAGTAAGCCAGGGAGAGTTGTCAGAGATAAGGTCATAGATAGGAGGGGCCAGCTCCCAGAAGGCTCTTAGGCCATTGTAAATTTAGAATTTTACTTGAAAGGAGATGGGGAGCCACTCCTTGTTGATCAGAAGAATGACAAGAGTTATATCTTAGAATTAGTCTGACTGCTTGGTTGAAAAACTGTAGGGGAACAAAGAAGGCAGAATACAGATTAATTTGAAGGCTCTACAACAACCCATATGTTATTAGTGTGTGCGTGAGGTAGAAAATGGATTCTAGATATCTTGAAGGGGGTAGCAGGATTTTTAAAAGGATTAGACTTACTATTTGAAAGGAGAAATGAATAAAAGATGACACATGAAGGATTTTGCTCTGAGTAAATAAAATTATCTTTTTTTAAAAATT